CCTTCAAATGAAAAAGAAGAATTAGTGTTTGAAATAAAGGCAGCAGAAACATCAACGTGCAAAATGTTAACTTCAAAACAAAGGATTTAACAAAGGAAATCTTTCTATTTATGGAGAAAGCAGGTAATAGGGGAGGCAGAAGTAAGAGCAAAGTGAAAAACAGGTGCAAGTAAATGTCATTTTGATCTCTTTGTGTCTATTTTCATATACTGCCTTAACTTCCAAGTTCTTTAAAACCCACTTAACACCCAGATGAATTCAGCAGCCTATGTATTGTTCATTGGAAACATATCCTGAAAAAGCTCTCCCAGCACTGGGGTTTCACCAGTAGAACAGACATGAATGTCTGCCTTTCTCAATAGTTTTGGAAGAAACACCTTGAATCACATCAGATACAATATATTTGTGGAAAATGAGAAGGATTTTGTGAGTCAGTTCAAGAACTAGCCCCTAGGAGTTTGAGAAAGACTCAGGTCCACAAGCCCCAAGATGGAATTGCAAAGCTATTTTTTCTAAAGAACTAAGGACAGAATAGGGAAATAAAAGCTCACTTTGCTACATCATCAACAAGGTGTCCAGCTACAGACCTGGAAAAGCACCCTGGGGGAGCAGCATCACAAATGCTTCATACGTACCGAGATGTCGGACGTTCCACATGGGATCAATACTGGAATGTAGCTTGTAAAATACAATTAGCAGTGGAGGTGTTGTGATGCTGCCAGCCAGAGTCTTACTGTAGAGTTCCTCTCTGGAAGTTGAAAGGATGCTGATCAGTTGTTTCCTCAGCACACACACAGCCCTCCATTCAAGAGGGAAACACCACCAGCAAAACCCAAACCCTGAGCTGCTGGCACCCCCAGCCTGGGGTACTTACACCACATTAAGTGCCATCCACTTTTCCAGCTGTTTAGTGATGTTCTGTAATTTCCACTCAGTCAAATTGGCAACAAAAACTCCGGGATTGAAAGAGCAGGTGTTGGCTTTCATGGCAAGCTTTCGGATGGTTTCTTTTTTGTAATCTAAAAACCCAATGTAATTATACTGGGGGAAAAAAAAGAGAGTAGAAATTAGCTTAAAATATATAGGGAAATTCCTAAAGAAAAATTCTACACAACTCACAACAGACAGGTGTAAGTTGAAGTTGTTAGAGTAAATATCCCTTCCTTTAAAATGAGAGAAAGAAAGCTTAAGAGGTGTAACGTTTTAAAAATATGATTATGTAGACTACATATCTTAAGGAATGCTGCCTGGTCTTAATAATACCACATTATTAATATGGTACCAGTCTCAGATAAATTCCTTTCCATACATTCAGAAATGAAAAATTGTCTCTGACGTTCTCAGACCTCCTGCTGTTCCACAACGAGAACTGCTCTCATTGTAAAGCACAGCAAAAATTCTAAGTAATTTACTGTGCCTGAACAGAAACTGCAGGTCCCATTTGTAAAACTGGTTTGGGCAGGGACAGTCATTTGTTTAGGCTGACAGCATTTGGAACATTCTCAAATGTCAGAGATCTACAGTATTGTTATCATACAACAAGATTAAAACTAACCTGATTGCCTGCTCCACGGACAGCAACTTTACTACTGGTTGAGTCACAGTCATCTGAAAATGCAGCTGCGTGTCCAGGTTTCAATGGAGTGTTGTAAAGTTCAACAATATCATCTGGAAAATGGAAGAAAGCACAGAAAAATCAAAAGCTATCCTGACTAAGTGCCAAGTTAGGCTTTGCTCAGTCCATTGTTACAGCAGATAAAGCTATTCAGTTTAACCCAATTCACTCATATTTACAAAGTTGGTACAGAAATGTTTGGGTTCTGTGAGAGATAAGATACTGACCTCAGCATAAGGCCAGTGGCAGCTAACAAAGGTCCCATACCTTGCACAATTACATCATCATCCACATAGATGACCTTCTCTGCATGAGGTACCAAGCTGGGCAAGTAGAATCTTGCAAAGGTTAACTGTGAGAACAGAAAAGCAAGAGAAGTGAAGAATTAAATGAAAAAATTGTCCAAATAAATTGACTGATTTTTCTGGCATTTATCTACAGCTTTAATGTCCAAGACAACTTCTATCAAGGAAGTAAAATAGGCAGCAATATCCTACAAATTATTTAAAATAAACAGGTTCCATCAATTCCTGGTCTATATAAGAATTTCTTATTTCTCCACATAGATCTGTAGCATTCCTGAGGTGTTGGCATGCTTGACATGCCAGCAGCTGTCTTTCACTGTGGCTAGCAGCGAAAAATGATGCTATGAATGCATATATAGATATTCAAATCCATCTCTCAATATCGAGATATTTAATTTTACTGAAATTTAGAAATTTGATTATGAAAGATTGCTTCTATGCTATGATCTCTAGCTGTGTTTCAAAAGCCAACATCAAAATATATTGTTATTAACTACTAATTGCAAAAGGTAATCAGTATCATCCTCACTGGTTTGAAGGTGTCTGCCTTTTGGGGATCCACTTGTACTTTGCCTTCTAAGACACGAGGGTCAAAATCCAAAATTCGGTATCTCATATTTTTCAGAGCAGGGCTTCTCAGCCACATCCTGCAAGCAGAAGAAAGGCACAGATCTTGTTAGATGAGACAAAATCAAGGGAAAAGCAGGAGATCCAGCTAACAATTACATAGATCTTGATGTGGCCACTCACTTCCCTGCCCAAGAAACACATCTGGGATGTAATTGATGCTGACATTGGCGCTGTCCTGTGTGGCCACAGGGGCAAGTCCAGGGTCAGCAACTGCACACCTGGGACATGTGAAAGGTACGAGGTCACTTCTTGTTTTATCAGAAATACACAGGCCTGTTATCACAGGCCCTTCCTGAAACCATCAGTGTGGACAGAAGGGGGTTAGAATAACACAATCAGAAATGTAGAGAAATGTGATTGCCAACATTTGAATTGCCTATATGAAATGTAGAAGTACCTTTTACAACCCTTCCACCAACAAACTCCAACCTCACTTGTTGGATATAAACCCACTGGAAAAGATGTTTCTTTTCCAACCCTGAAAGCTGAGCAGGAGGAATGGTGGGACTCCCACAGCAGCCCTGTCAAAAAGCTGCTATAAGCAGCAGCAGATGGGACTGGGAGTCAGGGGAGTGCAGTTCCAGGAAAAGGCAGCTTGCTCTCCTCTCAGAAATACAGAAGTTCGCCCTGTTCTGGGAATCCAATGAAAAGATCATTACCTCAAGTGATCCACAGTATCATTCAAAGTAACAATGTGGAAAACCACATTGGATCTGGTGTGCTGGTAAATGCTGTTCATGGCTGCAATTGCACCCCCAAGCCTCTCATCTGAGGCTGCGATGACCACAGAAATCTCCTTGTCATTCCTCTCATCTGTCAGCCTCTGGGGAGCTGCAGGAATGAAATCTATAGGCTGAAGTCCTAAAGGACTTGGATCTGTGGAGTAAAAATTACATACCTGTTTTTATTATTATATATTATTATTACCACACTAAAATTCCCAACACTTCAATTATTTATGCTATACACTTGGATGTCTGAGCTGAGGTGTGGATTACAGTAAACCAGTATCAAACACTCAAAGCATCAGCTTTCGAGAATCTGAGATGATAATGAATGAAATAACACCACATTTACAGAAAACTGCACACATTTAACCACACATATTCACATACTGGAGAAGGTATTAAAAGGCTGAGCTACAGTGGTGTACACTCACCCCAAACCACATGGTGGGTTCTGTCTGGCCAGAGCAGGTGTTTTCACACCAAATCTTTTTATAATTTTTTTTTTTAATTAAAATAAAACCCAACATACCTGACAATTCCCGTCTCAAGAAGTCACTAAGGCTTAGGAAGTTATGATGAATAACTAGCAAAAATATGATAACAGCCACTATAAGGATGGAAATGTTCACTGAAAATTAAGAAGAAAAATCTTTATCAATATAACCAGAGAACTGAGAAACTCAGATACAAAAGACAGACAAGCACATATATACATACCTTTCCTTAACGTCATTTTTCTATTCTTATTAGCATAAGGTTCCTGAAAACCTGCAAGAAAAAACAGCACTCACTGCCAGTGCATTCTTCCATGAGGCATAGCACACTATCACCAGGAGTGTCACAACAGTTTCAGTGTCAAAGGGAGTAAACATTTCCCTCTGTCAGTTTTATGACATATGTAAAACTGTATATCACATTTTTAAAAGTGGGTATTGCACCAGGTAGTACATAAATACAACCACAGAATCACAGGATGGGTTGGGTTGGAAGGAACCTTCAAGATCACCTGGTTCCAACCCCTACCATGGGCACAGACATCACCCCCAGCTTTTCTGGGCAACCTGTGCCAGGAGCACACCGCCTCACAGGGAAGGAATTTCTTTTTAATAGCTCGTTTAAACCTGCCCTCGGTCAGTTTCAAGGTATTCCCCCTTGTCCTGTCATCCATGCTCTTGTCCAAAGTCCCTCTCCAGCTTTCTTGGAGCCCCTTTAGGCACTGGAAGGGATTTTAACAGGTACATGTCCTTCTCATGGTAGGGACCCCCCACTACAATGACATATTTAAAGAAGATCTCAGAGATAAAAAGGAGACATGCAGATCTTGCCACTTACTTCACTGACAGAAAAAAAAAAAAAACCATCAAACTCCTTCTGACATACAAAAGTAATCTGAGAAGATCTGGAAAATTATGAGTGTTTTCTTTACTGTTGAAACTATTTTTTTAACTATCTGAACCAGAAGCACCTGAACAAGATAAAATGTTATATGTTTCTTTCCATACTTAATTAACAGCAAGATTCTGGTGTTTATGAGATTTTAACAAACAGCATTATATGCTTTAAAAAACATTACATTCTCTACATAAAAGACATATATTAGAATTTCAGCTGAAGTGTCACCACACAGAACAAATCACCAAAGTGGAAAAGAAGGCAGCACCATCATGTTATAGAAAGGGGTAGAAACACAATACCAATGCAATTTCGGTAAGACATTCAAACATGCTCGTTCATCATTTAAGGGCCGAGGTGAAATCAGAACAAGAGCTGTGTATCCTAGCGTGTGAAGGAGCTCTCAAGTAACACACAGAAAGCTCTCTAACAATATGCAAAATTCCAGAACCGGTGAGAGACTTGCGAAATTCCTAAATTAAAACACCTCAGGCTGGTCCGTGACTGTTACATGTATCAGAACCACCTTCCTTCCCGCTGCTGCATTTCACCCCCAGGGCAGACACAGCAGCGGAGCCCAACAAGTGCCTGCCCCGAGCTCTGTCTCGAGCACCACCGCGCTGCTGGCACGGGGCGGGACATGGAGCTTTGCCTGGGGAGCACAACGCCACGTCCCGCTGTGCAATTCCCAGCGCCAGGGCTGAGGCGCGCACGGACACGGTGCCCCAGCGACACGCGGCAGCCGGGCTGGGGGCAGTGACAGAACGTCCCCTGCACAGGGACGGTCACGGACAATAAAACACGCACGGCGCCGCTCCGCCGGCTCCCTGCAGTGCACACCGCGCTCCCCGGGCTGCTCTGCGGGCACAGCCCCGCTCCGGGGCCGGTGGGCCCGGGTCCGGCTCTCCAGCACCGCCCGCGGAGCCCCGGCCCCTCACGGACGGTCCGCACGCGCCGCCACCGCCGCAGCGCTCGGCCCGCGGTTGCCCGCCCGGGTGCCTGACCGCCGCCAGGCGCGAACCCGCGCCGCGCCCACCCCGCCGCTCTGCCCGGCGGCTCCGCGAGGAGAGCCCGAGGCTCGGGCGGGACGGCGGCCCGCGGGCTGCCGAGCCAGTGCGGGCTCCCGACAGGTGGCCCCGCGGCGCCTCGCACCTGCGGGGGAAGGCGGCTCCGCCGGGGTCTTGCGGGGCGAAGCCGCCGTTGCCGAGGAGACTCGTCCCGGCCGGTGCGGGGGAGCGGAGCGGCCCCAGAGCGGCGGCGACAGCGCGGAGGCGATGGCCGGGGCTGGAGGCGACAACCCCGGCCGACGGAGCTCTGGGCGGGGCGGACGGGGCGTGTTTCCGGCCAGCTCAGCAGCCGCCTTCCGCTCCGCCGCGACGAGCGCCGGTGGCTGCGGAGAGGCCGTGCCGAGCACCGAGAACAGCAGGGCCTCGCCCGGGAGCGTGCAGACTGCTGCGAAGAGGAACGGGAAGAAGCCGGAGAAGCGCCGCCGCCATGCTGAGCGTGTTCCGCTCCATCCCCACGCAGATGGTAGGGCCCCACCGGGACGCTGCGGGCGACACGGCCGGGTGCGGGTTTAATGTCCCTTGCCCGCACGGCGACAGGGGTGGGCGCAGGCTCAGCGCGATCTTGGCATGATAGATAGATAGATAGATAGATAGACAGACAGACAGACAGAGGCACGGCTAGAAGGATGCAGGATGAATCCATGTAATTCCGGTTTTTGACCTGGGAGCTGGGACTCTCGTTCTGTAAAAGAAGGTATTTCGCAGCTATGTAAGGGAAGCCCCTCTGTGCTTTCCTGCCTCTGCTGTAGACGGACAGAGGGCAACGTGTGCTCCCAGAGAGCCACGACTTTTAATGTCATGCAGACATAGATTAGTTGGGTTTGGAAGGAACCAGTGGAGATCATCCAATCCAAAGCAGGGTCACCTAGCGCAGGAATAAATCCAGGTGGATTTGGAACATCTCCAGAGAGAGGGACTCCACAACCTCTCTAGGCAGCCTGTCCCAATGCTCTGCCATCCTCAACATAAAATTCTTCCTTCTGCTGAGGTCGAACTTAGTTCATTTTAGTTTATGGCCATTGCTCCTCATCCTGTCGCTGAGCACCACTGAAGAGAGCCTAGCACCATCCTATTGGCACCCACCCTGGAGATATTTGTCTGTCAGCCAAAAACACAGGTGCCACACACACCCTCTTGGGCACACTCTCTTCTGTGGTGATACAGCTTTTAGTGATGTTAAGGTGACTACAGTGATATTTTGAACTTGCATTGCACTTACCCATATCAGACAGTGCTTGCTTCTGTTTCTAGGTGATGTGGTCAAGCCTGCAGAGGAGGTGTTTTCAGCCACTGTAAGAAAAATAATTCCAATCTGGTTTGAAAGTTGAACAAAAACGCTGAGAACCCATGGTCAGGTAGACTGTAGGATCTAACCTGAAAGAGTTAAGTGGGCAGATCTTTGTTTTGAGTAATTGACTAAAATGTCTCTTTCCACAGGACTACAAGGGCCAAAAATTAGCAGAACAGATTTTTCAAGGAATCATTCTTGTTTCTGCAGTAAGTATAGTAGACCAGTGGGTGAGAACATAAAAGACTATTTTATTTTCTGATATTATAAATATTTTTCTTATTGTTTGGGGTCACTAAAAGCTTTAAACAAAGAGGGGCTGTCATGGATTAAAACTTTTCTTCCTCCTATCTTTTACTTTCCTTGTTGGCCTGCAATTTTGAAAAGGTTAAAAATATGTATGAACTGTGCTTTTGAAAAACCTGTATTTTCCTACCTAAATCCACCCCCTGCAACTTAATCATGTCATGGTGGGGGAAAACGTTTTTCATTTAAAGTTTGATTTCTTTAAATATTTGTTTTTCCAGGTAATTGGTTTTATCTACGGGTACATCACTGAACAGTTTGGATGGACTGTCTACATAGTTATGGCTGGATTTGCTTTATCATGTTTGGTAAGAATGTTTTTTCCCTAAACCAAAAAAGACATTCACTGCTTAATCTGGAATAATTGCTAAATTGAGGGGCTGTCAGGACAGACTAATGCTTGCTATGCAATTCAGATTTATTAATACATATTTGTGCTTCCTTTGATCTGTATAAAGTGCTTTGCAGCCCATTAAGTTCTTTTTTTAAAATGCTAGCAGAATTTTTGCAATTTAATACCACTTTTGAGTTCATTTTTCACTTCAATAAAAGTTGAAGTCAAATTCAGCTGACAGCATTGGTAACAGAAAAGACAAGGAGGCTTTCTGTGCAGTGTCATGACAATTTTGCAGCTGTTCCCTGCCCTGAGGAGAGAGACAAGGAGACAGAGTATGGAATTTCAGGAGTAATTCCTTTTCCATGCATGAGAAGTGTCCCATTCTTACTGGGGCACTCCCAATCCACTTTTACATGTGGTTCTTATACCTTTCAAGTGTTCAGATACAGCATGATTTGACCAATCACTACTCAAGACACACACACAGCGCACTGTTGAAAAGCCCCTATAATTCTCTGGCATCATCATCCATCTGCTCCTTACTTAAACATCCCCAAGTCAGCCTGGTTGCAGTGACTTACCAGTGATGCCAGGCAAGGGGAGGGTCTCAGTGCAGTGTGGGAGGTGCTGGAATGCTGCTGTCACCTCAGGAGTCCAGGGGTGTCCTTCTTTCCTCAGAGGGGGTGCTGTCCTCCTCCTTGCAAGAGCCTGGGATGCTTTAGTCGTATACTTAAGCACGACTTGGAATGCAAACTGTAAATGTATATGAAATTTTATGAGTTGTATTAGGACTAATAGATAATTAGGGATGAAGATATTCCTAAAAAGCTGTACAGAACAGCTCTTTAGCATCTCGATGTCCATGTTCTGACTCCGTTCCTTTGCCCTCAGCTGACACTCCCTCCATGGCCCATGTACCGCCGCAATCCCCTCAAGTGGCTGCCTGTCCAGGAGTCAGGCACAGAAGAGAAGAAGGCAGCAGACAGGAAGCCAAAGAGACATTCTAAAAGCTAAAAATTATGGTTTCCAGGTTGTTACTTTGTTAATTTTTGTTAAATTAATTTCCACTGAGAAATACTTCTTTGGTTTAGTGTTTGGGTTGTTTTTTTTGTTTGTACTTTGTATACAACCAAGCTCTGCAGGGAGCATGAAGGCTGGAAATTGGGTCTGGAGTTTCAGGGAAGTCCTTGGGAATACAGGGAAGGGGGGGATTACCTTCAGAAGGCTACTGGTGGTCACACCTCAAGTATTTCACCAAAAAGGAACACAGTGAATCAAATGAATTCTAGTTAATCTGTTGCCATAGCTGAAAAGATAATAAACAGCTGGACTTTACTGAAATATTTCTACCTGTGTGTAAAACAAGCTGTCAGTAGTGCCTGGTTGTACCAAATACTGTGAAATGGTACATACCCCACAGACCTGAAAATAACTGTGCAGAGGGCCAGTTTTTGTTTAAAATAAATTTCCCTTGGAAAAACAAGTAAGAATAACTCTTGAAATATTGTGACTTGAGCATGTAGTGTGTGAGAAGCAGCAGGATCCATAGGTAAAGGCATTTTATTTTACTACTGTCATGTTAGAATGCTCCCTCAGAGCTGCTGGAGGTTACAGTATTTAACTACAGGCAGGAAAATAGACAGGTTGTTAATTTATAATTTTACAAATTCAATTCCCTTTGACTTCTTTATTATTTAAAAAACATGTGCTTTTCCTGTGGGAAAACAGATGGTACACAACAATGTCTGGGTGCTGCAGCAAGACACTCTGGATGCAAACAAAGAGAAATAGGTATTTTATATTTTCCCTAAGTGATTCTGGTCTTGGGCACTTTCATTCCTAAAAGGAATTAGTATTTGTAAGGCAAAGGGATTTCTCCAGCTGGGACGATAGTAACCATGGCTGCATTCCTTTCAGACATTTTCAGACTTATTTTATCCAGTTACCAAATGCTTTCCCCCACCTTGGTGACTGCCTCAGCAACAAAACACAAGAACAAAGTTTCTCTTTACAGGCAGTACAGCCGACCCCTTCAGCACTTGGACTTGGCAATTTACACAACCTAAAGACCTTGAGTTCCACAAAAATTAGTAATTGTCTCTTCACGCTAATTTTTGAGAACAATCTGATGTAATAGATTATAGTTTACCATATCAGAGCCTTGGCAAAGATTTTGTTTTGTACTTAGTATGAGACCCCACACCAAAAACCTTTTTTTGATATCACAAATTCAAACCAGAACATAATTTTTTTGACACTCCTTAGTATACAAAACTTGGTATCCAGCCCTATTTGCATCTATGAAAAGCAACTTTTTAAGGGACTAAAAACTAAACAGCTTCTCTTCTGAGAAACTGATAGCCTGGTTCACATTTTAACATGAAAAATATTACTACAAACTGTAACATTTTCTGCAAGTTCACCTCCTTATTCCAGCAAAGGAGATCAATGGATAAATGTGCTTTGTAATCTGATCCAGTCTATCAAAGGAGCTAGAAAACAGTTCTTTTCTCCAAGAAAAAGATTCTGGTCAGAGCTTCACATTTTCTTCAAGGAATTTCAGGTGCCGAGCCTTCGCACTGTAACTTATGTACTTGTCTCCCATGTGCTCCCGCAACTGCAGCTGTTGAGAACACACACAGAACAAAACCCACAACATTTACTGGCATTGAAAAAAACCAGAAACTACCAAAATATTAACAAAAAAATACCAAAGCACTCAGCTGAAAGAAGCATGTGAAGCTTGGAAATGTAGGTGAGAGAGAAGAAAAATGAACATGGTTGTTGTCTAAAAGCATGAGACTTTCAAATGCCACCCAAAAATTTAAAATACAAGATCATCACAGGTTACAAACAAATACTGCCTGGGTAAATGTAACCAAGTTTTGAATAAAAGGAGCTGCAGGTATTTCTCATTCACCTTTATTAGGCATTGATGTTAAATTATTTCTTATTTTGGACATAAGGGGCATAAGGCAAGTAATTTAAAGGCAAAAATTTGAGAAAATAAATTATTACTGGAGAAACAGCACAGAGTAAAATTATTTGCATCCCTCACACCTTCCCCAACTCAGGGACCATAGTACAATTCTAAATCTTTGACGGTTTCTGAAGAAGTTGCAGTTGAACATAGTCTACACCTAGAATCAAACTCAAGAGTAAAAATTGCAATATTAGGTCCTTGCCTGCCCATGGCTACATAAAGACTTTCTGGAATCAAGGTTTACCCTATCACAATAGGGTAATGATCCTGCTCGTTTATCTAGGTTTATAAAGAAATTAAACCATTCTATTTTAAAAGACATTCACCTCTCTTTTTGCTTCGTCATCTTCTTCCATGATTCTGTACACCTTCTCAAGAAGTTTCACTCCCAATCCTTGCACCACATCAGATCTCAGGATTTCAACCATTCTCCTAATCTTGTAAGGGACCAATAACATATCTATTAAAAATAAAATACAATCAAAAAATCAGTGCAGTAGTAATTACTTTCAGTACAGACAATTTTCATGTTCTGAAAAAGAATATGGGATGACTCTTAAGTATTACCACAGAATCCCAGAGCAACAGACCTGAAGGAATCTCTTCCATTTTTAATTCCTCTGATTCATCAGGTGATTTTCCATGCAAAATCAAAGTGTCTCGATATTTTCTATGAAGTTTAAACTCTGGGGCTGGGGTTGAGGTTACACAGCACTCAGAGTTCTCCTTGGAGTCCATTTTCAGTGTCCATGTCATCAGCTGCACTAAGTCATTCATTTCATTCACACTGCTTTTCCTGGGAGAGAAGGAAGAAATGATTCAGTCACCATCATAACGCAACTTCCACTCTACATTCCAAGGGCCTGCAATGAGTTTATTGAGACCCTAGTAAGTATTCCATGTTATAGTCTTTGTTGTGATATAGTTTTATCAATAGCAACATCAGCACTATTTCATTTAACAAAGGCTCAGAGCCCAGTCACTGCAAAACTCCACAATCCTACTGGCTACTGCTGACTGGTAATGCAACAAATTGCATCTTTTGAAAGCTGCTTACACTGACAGAAATCAGAGATAAATTCAGCCTCATTTACAGTGGAAAGGAAGCATATTGGCACTTTTTAATTTGTACTTTTAATGCATCCTGAAAGTAGATGTCCTTTGGTGCTGGAAGATTGGTTTCCTGGGAAGCTACAGTTCACAAAATCAGAAGTAAACAATCCCATGGCCCAGAAAGTTCAGCATGGAAGGTGTACAGTTACAGAGGGACAAGAATTCAATGGGGCTGTTTTCCTCTTATGCATCACATACTTCTTCAATCACTCACTACGCAGAGATAAAGTGTGAAAGCCATTTTTTTACACTCCAAGTCAAGGTCCAGTCTGGCACAGTATTAAACAAAATCCTTACTTCTCCTTGGAATCACCATCAGACTTGTCTGTAGAGCTTGTGGAAGAGCTTAGCTCATCATCAGACAGGCAATGGGCTTCTCTCTTTCTCTACGGGAAGAGAGAATAAATAAAAATATTCTAATAGCTGAAAGTTATTCAGCAATATAATGGCATAAATTACTGTTCCTACATGGAAGCAATTCTTTTGACAAGGTTTACCTGAGAAATACTGGGATCTGATGAAGACTGAGGAACTTTAACGCAATTTTCCACAAGTGACTTCGCTTGAACTACTGCACCATTTAATGCCTGTCTCGCTGGAACCACTGGAAGGATGACATTTTGAAAATATTTACAACTAAGCTGTGTGTATTCTGAATTAGTTCCATGCTCACGCAAGAAAAAAATCTATCACCTAGCAGAGGGCAGGCAGGGAGGTAGGTATTTTGCTAATAGAAAACACTGAAACTTCTGTCTGAAAGTGAATATTCTACATTTCATGTACATTGCAAAGATAAATTGTCAACACAGAACACAACTGAACATTACTAAAAAGCAGAAGAATACTGACATGTTAACAGAACTTCTTATTTAACACAGAACTAGCCCCTTAGTGCAACATTCTGAAGATGGCAGTGAAGAACAGGCAAGTAGTTGTCATTTCTTCATTAAGAAGTTATTAGCCTACTTACACACAAACTGTTAACATGTAAACATAAAAATTACCAGAGGGAAGCATCTCCCGAGACTGTTTCAGCCTCCTCCGTTCTCTTGCTGACAAGGGCCGCTCCTTCAAAGGAAGTTAATTTGATATTAATTTGCAATCACCATTATGGCTTTTGTTTTCTAATCACCTGTTAAGCAAAAAATCCTTTTCAATTTATATGGGAGAGGGAGCTATTATTTAATGCTTAATTATTTATTACAAAACTGTCTTAAATGTGACCAATCTGAACTCTAGAAAAGGGGATTCTGGCCTCCAAGGCTCAGCAAGGCTCATCCCACACTGAGCAGGGCTTCCTCTGAGGCAGGAAGCTACTACACATTTCTTTACTCACTGTGCACACACTCATGGAAAGAACTGCTCAGAAGGAATGAGACAAAAGCAAGCAGGCACAGTTTTCATCACTAACCTTTGGAATGGCTGCTTGGCTGGGTTTGGCACTATCTGCAGGCTCAGAGGGCTCTGCACCCCCCTGGGCTGTCTTTGCGGTCACATCAAAAGGAACAGGTAGAGGCCAAGGAGAAACTGCTCTGAACTTGACAGAGAAGTAGGCAATAATTTATTATTTTTTTATTATTAAAAGTTTAAGTACTCTGTAATCTAGAAGACAATTTTGCATGGTACAGCTGCATGCCAGAGATTTTGATCCTATTGTAACCTCTTCACATCTCCCAGTTTGATCCTACCCTCTCTACATCTCTGCTTGCATCCATTTCCCTTCTTTCCATCCTGACATCTTATCCCCCTCCTCCCAGACTATTTTTCAGCCGAGGCCTTTGCAACAACTGTCCCCACCCCCAAATAGCAAAACCCAAAAAGAAAACCAGGTGATCAGTCACCAGTCACCCCTTTCTCTACCCTTGTGCCTTTCCCCAAAGAAACCTCCCTGCTCAGTGTGGAAGAACTGACAGGAGCTCTATCCTGTGTGCATGCCAAGATTTTCTTCCCACAGTTTGTACTCAGAAGCTCAGGGCAGCCATCACTCATCTGTTCTAAAGCACCACTAAACCACTACCCACCACAAGTAGCCTATTCCACAAAGATACTGACTCCTAGTCACAAACAAGTGTCCTAATGGAATTTCCTAGGAAAGAGTGCAACCCAGTAAAGGCACAGCCCATCTGGTACACCCACCTCATCCCTGTGAGGTACTGGGATTTTCAAATATTTACTCAGGCTGCTTCTGACAGTCACCTTCAGTGATCTGCATTTGTTACCACTGAAGTTATACAGACACACATGAAACAAGAACAGCATTAAAACACCCACCCTTTTTTAGAAAAAAGGTCCCACGTTTAAAGAGGAAAAACACAGGAGTCTTAAAGGAAAGAGGAGAAGTATTTTTCAAGTATCTGCACCTTCTCTGAGCAGCCTTCAGCAAGCTC